TGTTCAGAACAGAGATAGCATAGTGGAACTGGAATAGGAGGAGCCCAGGCTTGAAATGCAAAATTCAGGACACAGTCCAGTCGTGTCTCTGAGCTATGTGAGGGTGGGTGCGGGTTAACACCCCTCAAAGCACACCTTCCTCCAAGCAGAAAGGGCAAATGTGAACCCAGATGAATATGTCACCTAGCCTGTGCTAGGGGCCTAGGGCTGGTGCTTGGCCCAAGGGGTAAGGGATACCTAGGCCATGGTTTACTGGACTCCTACATGTCTCCACATCATGCCAAGCATCCTGGCTCATGACCTCATCTGGTGTTCATCCTGTGAGGTGGTAACTATTATTACCCCTTCCTGACTAGAGGGCTTTGTAAGTCACACAGGTCTCCAGAGGAATTCCATTCCTCCATTGGGAGGCCAGATCTCATGTATCGCAGGCTGGCCCTGAATAATGTTGAAGTTCTAATCCCCCTGCCTCCAACTCCAGACTGCTGGGATCTACAAGCACTCAGACCTGTTTAAGTCCTTTGATGGATTTTGCAGCAGAGTCTCCACTGTCAACAGAGCCGTCCTCGAACTCCTGAACTCCAGCAATCCTCTTGCTTTAGTCTCCCAAATCCCTGAGACTGTAGGCATGATAGATTCATGCAGTGCTGGGAATCCAAGCCAGAGCTTAGTGTATGTTACTCTACCAACTGAGCCTCATCCCCAGCCTTTGGTGACCAATTGTATTACATGTCTGGCCTTGGTGATTCTCTTCAAACTTAATTTTTAAATGTGTATGGGTGTTGTGTCAGCATGTATATCTGAGTACTACGTGCATACCTGGTGCCCAAAAAGACCAGAAGAAGGCTTCAGATCCCACAGTTGGGAACCACCATGTGACTGCAGGAAATTGAGCCAAGTCCTCTGGGAGAGCAGCAAGTTCTCCTGACCACTGAACCCCAGCAATTCTTTTTGTTTGTTTGTTTTGTTTTTGCTTTTTGAGGCAAGGTTTCTCTGTGTATCTTTGGAGGCTGTCCCGGCTTTGTAGACCAGGCTGGCCTTGAACTCACAGAGATCCGCCTGCGTCTGCCTTCCAAATGCTGGGGTTTTACACCACACCACACCACATCACACCACTCCACCACACCGATTTTATTTGTTGTTGGGAGTTAAAGGCAGAGATTTGTGATGATAGACAAGCACTGTCCCTACTAAGCTACTTCTCCAGCACTAGAGGCTTCATTTCTATGAGTAAAACACTCGTTTACCAATGTAGCTTATTCAACACTTATTTCTATTGTGAGATCTCTGGGATATGGAATGTAAGCTTATACATTAAATATTCATAAATACACATATACTTATGAGAACATGAAAGTGGGCAGCTAGCCCTCTCCTGAAGTTCACCTCAGTGGAGGTGGGGGTCAGAGGAAGTCCAAAGAGAACACACCCTAAGAACCCACAGGGTCCAGGCTGAGTGGTGAGGTAGTCAAGGCTCATGGATAGTTTTTAAATCAACAGAAAGAACATGGAGACAACTAAGTCTAGGGCCAGGGGATGGTGGACCAGACACCAAGGAAGGCAGATGGACAGTGGCAACTGGGCTGCACCCTTCCCCTATATATAGACATTCCAGAGAAAACTCAGAAGAGCCAGGCCGGGCTAAATAAGGCCTCCCTCTGCCAGGCAGAGGATCAAGGCGTGACACTCGGGGGAGTCCAACTTGGACAATGCACACTGGGATCACTTGTCTGCAACAGAGAGAAGGCAACCGTTAGCAACCACCCATCACTAATTCATCCCTATGTTTATTTGGTGAAACAATAAGAACCAAGGTCCCAAGTGCAGCCAAATACTCCACACTGTCTTCTCACCTTGCATGCTGCTGCACTCTGGCTGGCTGGCCGGACGGCAGGACTTCAGTACTGCCCCAAACACCATCCTCTAGGAATGTCGGGACTTTGCTTGTGCTAGAGGCTCCCTGGCATCTTTCTTGGTCTACAGACCGCTTCTTCCTGTATCTCTTCTCCCCTACACTCCTGCTATGTGCTTCAAGGAGAGAAACTACTTCCAAAAATTGTTCTCTGACTTCCACACTTGAACTATGTCACATAGGAGCCCACACTCAGACAATCATAATAAAAACAAACAAAACCCGGTGTGGTAGCTGTAGTCTGGAGGTAGAGGTAGGAAGAGAGGAAATAAGGAGTCGTGGGTATGTCTCAGAAAAAAAAGAGAGAGAAAAGATGATGGGAGATGCCTCTATCCGTAAAGTACTTGCCAGAGCATCCAGATGTGAGTTTAGATTCTCATTAGCCATGTGGGACCCTAAGCCCAGCGATGGAAGCGGGTAATGGGGCAGGAATGGAGACCAGTAGATCCCTGCTTCTCATTGGCCACCCAGCCTAGCTACGTGGATGAGCTCCAGGCAATATTTGACCTCCATACACACACACACACAGGTATAGGACCTCCCGCCCCAACAAAACCAGACAGAGCACTCCTAACTGACACTATTTACAAGAGAAATACATTAATGGAATCAATGGGCCACTTTTTTGTTGTTGTTGTTTTGTTTTCTTTTGTTTCCAAGACAGGGTTTCTCTGTGCAACAGTCCTAGCTGTCTTGGGACTTGTTTTATAGACCAGGCTGGCCCTGAACTCACAGAGATCCACCAGCCTCTGCCTCATAAATGCTACGACTAAAGGTGTGTGCCACCACCACCTGGTGATGGACCACTTTTTAAAACTTTTATATTTTATGTGTGTGCGAGCAAACACTCAAATGCCACTTTCAGGAGTTGGTTTTCTCTCCCCACCTTGTGGATCCCTGAAACTGAACTTGGGTTGTCAGGCTTCGTGGCGTGTCCCACTGAGCCATCTCACTGGCCCACTTATTTGGGATTTTTTTTTTTTTTTTTTTTTTTTTTTTTTTGAAACAGAGCTCCACAACATAGTTCAAGCTGCCCTCTAACTTTTGGTACTCCTGCTTCAGCCTCCTGAGTACCACAATGGCGGGCACGCTGGCTTTCCTGCCTGACTGGACAGACCAGATTTCTTTCCATGATGCTCTGAACATCAGCTCTTTCCTTCTTTCCCCTTCATTTCTTCCTGTTTGTGTAGTTGCTGCTGATGTTGTTTCCAGTTAGGCCTTGAATTCATGATCCTCCTGCCTCAGCTTCACTGGTGCTGGGATTACAGGTGTGCGTGGTTATGCTTGGCTGAACCTCAGCTGTGCACCCTGATTTTTGTGGCACATACTGAAGGAAAAGCTAATTCCCAGCTAGTAGCAGGAAAATGAGTGAAGTGTCTTTTTTGCCCTCAGTCTGCCTGTAAGCAAATGCAGAGGAATTAGAGCCTGAAGTCACCTACAAGCTCGAGTCCTAGCTCCCCTACTTTCCACCAGATGGGAATACCTCCCTTCTATTCTCGGGTTCCACTATGTCACCCTGGCTGGCCGAGAACTCACTCCTTTGACCAGGCTGGCCTTGAATTCACAGACTCACCTGTTTGTGCCTTTGTCTCTGCTGGGACTGGCTTTTTTCCTAAGATTTATTTTATTTCTAATTATGTGTTTATATGTGTCTGTGTTTGGTACACATGCATGCAGATACCCCTTGGAGACCAGAAGAGGGCACTGGATCCCCTTTGGTTACTGCAGGTTATGAGCAGACCCCCTCCGCCCCCCACCGGTCACTGCTGGAAACCGAACTCTGGTCCTGAGTGAACCACATGAACCACTACTGTCCAGTAGCTGCCTCCTCTGAGACCTACACGTGACAGTGTGTGAAATGCCTATAACAGCTAAAAACTAGACCTTTCTATTCAAGTTAGGCCACGTTTTCCATTCAAAAGTGTCTTCCCATCCATCCCCTGTACTCTGAAAGGAGGTAGAAGATATACTGTCTGAGGCACCTTATTTTGAGACAGGATCTCTCTATGTAGCTCGGCTGGTCCTGGAACTCACTATGTAGACCAACCTGGCCTTAAACTCAGACAGATCTTCCTACCTCTGCTCCCAGGGTGCTAGGATTAAAGGCGTATGACACCACGCCACAATGCCTGGTCTTTGAGGTACTTTGTTTTATTGTCTAGCTGGCCGATTTTGAGTCTGCCCTGCTAGGCCTTATGAAAGGAAGCAGAAATCGTTTTCTTGGACTACTACTGCTACTTATCAGTAAAAGATAAAACGGGAAGTTCTCCCAGAGCTACAGAAATTACCCGACCGACCCTGAACCCGTGGGTTAAGAACTGGACTATAGGAGATCCACACTAGAAATCTCCGGCAAACTGTGACCTTGGACAAGTAACAGCCTCTCCGGGTCTATTTTCCTGTTTGACTACTTCCCATAGGTGAAGCTCAAACAAAACTGAGAAGGCTTAGGAACGCTCACACAGGCACTGGACTAAGGTTCTTACAAGAGTTGAAAATGTAGTATTAGTATTAGAATTCTTGTTTCCTGTGAGAAAACCTAGGCTGGGCGAGGCCGGATTTCAGGTTTCTCTCAAGGAAGAGCGGATCTCCCAAATGCCACAAAATTACATTGTAAAGTTACACAGCACTGCATGGAAATTAGGGGAGAAGATTGGGGCTTCCCCTGGAGTCCGGGAGGGGTGGGACAAGTCCCAGATGGTGCATGGCTAGCCCGATCAAGGACGGTTTCAGGGTGGCCTGGCTAGCCTGACCATCGCCCGCGTCCCTCCCAAAGCAGCGGCCCGGGATTCTAGCAGTTCCGGGAGCGGGCGGAGCCGGGCGGGGTCGGGTCGAGTGACTGCATGGAGCAGCTAGGCGGCGCTGTGAGCAGCCTGAGCCAAGAGCCCCTAAAAACCGCTGGCAGCTGCATCGGACGGATCCCAGGAACCCGCTCTAAACGCACTCGATACGGTGTAGGTGGAGGCGCATCCCGGCCTGCGGGGAGGGGCGAGGGTAGAGACCCGCCTGCTGCTTATTCCCGGCTGCTGCCGCCTGTGGGCGTGGCCTCTTCTGGCCCGCCCTCTGACACGCCCCCGGGCCCCTCTCCGGGCGGGGGTCCCCTCCCTCTCGGGCCCTGGACTCAGCTTGGCGCGCTCCCCTCTGGGTGCCATGGCCTCGCGGCTCCTGCACCGGCTGCGACACGCCCTGGCTAGCGATGGCCCCGGGGAGGCGGCGGCAGGTCCCGAGGCCGAGCAGTTCCCAGAAAGCTCCGAGCTGGAGGACGACGACGCCGAGGGCCTGTCCTCCCGCCTCAGCGGCACCCTCAGCTTCACCAGTGCTGAGGATGACCCGGACGACGAAGACGAGGACGACGAGGCGGGCCCCGACTCGCTGCCCTCCGGAGACGGGACATCGGGAGAAGACGCAGGCGAGTGCGGGAGGACGGAGACAGGAACCCCTGGGCTCGGTTAGGCCTTCCCGCTGGCCACGTTCCGAGAGCATCCCGGGGGCTCTGAGTTATCTGCCTGAAAACTCTTGACACCTTAAACGTTTCCAGACGTTGTTTGGCTATGTGACCTTGAGTCACGGCCATGGGAACCATCCCAGTCCAGGGTTTTTGTGGATATTAAATGCACAGGACCAGGGAAACAAATTATGGTGTGCTAGCTGCTTTGGGTGGAGATATTTAGCATCTACTGTGAACCAGGCACTGGGATAAAAACCCACCTCGCTCTCGTGAATGAGGGCATGACATTTTGTTTACGATAACCCCGGGGCTAGCTAGCCCCTTAACATGATTGGTCATGTACTTGTGCAGAACGAAGTCCCCCACCTGATGGACAGCGGGGCAGTCAACCCCTGGCTCGGCAGCTGCAGGATTTCTGGAAGAAGTCTCGTAACACACTAGTTCCACAGCGGCTGCTCTTTGAGGTGACCAGCGCCAATGTTGTCAAGGACCCTCCCTCCAAGTACGTGGTGAGTGAGGTTCCAGGAACGCTTAGGCAGTGAGTCTAGAAGTCTGGCTGAGAGAAAGTAGGGAACGCCACAGTTTTCTGGGGTTCTGGCTGTGCCGTTGTAAAAGGCTGTCATTATTTTACACCTGGGGGAACTGAGGCTGGATAAGGGGGTGGATGTAGCTTGAGCAAGTCCTCAGGTGAGAGACACTGAGAAAGTGACTTTAAGGAGTGGCCTCCTGTCACAGCTGGTGTATTTGTTATTCTGTACCCCAAGGATTTTTGTTAGCTACAGAAGACAGACTTGAGACCCAGTTTCATGGGTCAGGATTAAGGAAATGCGCTTTGGATCCAGATCAGCCTTGATTCACATCCCATATATTTTATCAGTGCCTTCCCATGGGTGGGTTCTGTAACCTCGATGGCCTCCAGTTTCCTCACTTGAGCAGCAAGACAGTGCATAGTATTATAGTAGGAGGTAAATGAGACCAGGCACAAATAACCCTTAGCATTGTCTGGCATTGTGAAATATTAAAATGGTAGCTATATAGTTTCAGATTCACTAATCTGAAATGCTTGAAAATCCTAAGAATTTAAATGTCAACATGATGCCACAGGTGGAAAATTCCACATCTAACTTCATGTGATGTGTGCTCGAAATGTAGGCCCATTCAAAAACATTGCATAAGGGCCTGAATGGCTGAGGCAGTAAGACTGCCATGAGTTCAGAGGTAACCTGGGCTAAAGAGGGAATGCTAGGCCAGCTAAGAATACACATCTAGACACTCTGCTACCCCTCACACACAAAAGGGCCAAACACTAAGTAGGAATGTAGCTCATTGATACAGCACTTGCCTACCATGCTCAAGAACTAGCTTTAACCCAACCCCCCAAATCGTATAAAACTACCTTCATTGCTGAGTGTGCTGGCGCAGTTGGGAAGTAGAGGCAAAGTTATCAGGAGCTCCAGGCCAGTTCAGATACATAGCAAGACCAGTGTGGGCTACATAAAGGCGTCTCCAAACAAAAACCCAAACTACCTTTAGGCTGTGTGTATAAAGTGCATAAGAAATACAAATGCCTCAGGTGGTGGTGGCGGCGGCGGCGCATGCCTTTAATCCCAGCACTTGGGAGACAGAGGCAGGCGGATCTCTAAATTCGAGGTCAGCCTGGTGTACAGAGTGAGTACTGGGATAGCCAGGGCTGTTACACAGAGAAACTCTGTCTCGAAAAACGGAAAGAAATATAAATGAGTCTTAGGGGCCAGGATATACAGCTCAGCTGGTAGAGTGCTAGCCCACCGGTACATAAACTGGGTGTGGTAGCACATGCCTGTAGTGCTGGCACTTGGAATGGGGAGGAGGATCAGGAGTTCAAGATCAGCCTCAGCTACGTAAGCTCAAGGACAGTCTTCTGAAATACATGAGAGCCTGTCTTAAAACAGTGTTTCTTAGTTCCTTTATAGACTTGGTATTTAGATTTGGGTCTCATCTCTTAAGAAATCTCCTTGTGTTATGCAAATATTCCAAAATCTGAACCATTCTGGTCCCAAGCACTTTGGATAAGGGATGCTCAGCCTGTATTCTTAGTTAACTTTAGAGTGGAAATGCCAGGTGCCTAGGGCCTGCTGCAGCCCCGACCAATCAGTTCACCAGCATGCCCACCTGCAGCACACCAGGACTAAGCGAATAATGAGCAGTATGGAGGCCAGCCTAGAGTCCCTGTTTTCCTGGCTGTGAAGGGGAGACTAACCAGGCCCTGCTCTCTTCAGGTCTGAAATCTGAGCTAGCTGGCCCTGCCCTGGCACTGTAACTCCCTGCTTTTCATCTCCCTCATCTTCACACCCTCCTCCACCTCTGACTCAGCAAGACAGGGGGCCTGGAGCCCTGTCCCATATTTAGGTCTCTCCACCCCTCCCTGTCGCTGTTATTGACAAGGACCACACCCATGAAGTGACTGCTCCACTTCGTGCAGGGACTGATAGATGGTGCAGGCCTTATATCTTGTTAAGGATCAAGTCCTTATGCATGCTAAGCAGATGCTGTACCACTGATTGCTGTACCAGTCTTAAGTGGCAAACGTTCCAGAGCTCAGGGGTGGGTTAAGGGGTCATGCACAAAACCGAGACACCACGGATCAGTCAGCAAAGAGCAGCTGTCTCAGAAAAGAATGGGGTGACTCTGGGGACCGAGGTGAAAAGGCCTAAGGAAAGGCAAGTGCCACCTTCTGTCCTGACCCGTCTAGAAAATGAAGCCACCTCCTCTGTGCAGTGGGCACCCCATATTTCTTCTGGAGGTCAAGAGCAGGGGCTTTAGAATTAGATCTCAAGGCTGGTCTTTGTGCCCTTCACTCCCTCTTGGAGCCTGCTCCCTCGGCTGACAAGAGACCAGACACTCCCTTGCCATGCTGTTGATGATGTTAAGTGACACTTAACTGGAGAAGTACTTGGTCCAAGGCTTGGGGCAAGTGCTTAGGTCTGTCAAGGGAACAACTGTCACACCATGCTGGGAGTTGCGGGGAGGTGCTTCGGATGCCTGGCCTCGTGGGCATTAGGAAGTACTCTGCCCCTGGGGTACAGCTGGGCACCAACAACGACAACCACCAGTACCTGTGTTGGTGGCTCATTATAAGCCATGGGTGAAAAACGGATAAAGACAGAGGGGAGGAGTAGGGAGTAAACATGTTCAAAATATGTTGTAGACATATGGAACTCTCAAAGAATAAAACATTAAGATTTTTAAAAATTCACCAGGTGTTGGTGGAACACGCCTTTAAACCCAGTACTCGGGAGGCAGAGGTAGGCGGATCTCTGTGAGTTCAAGGCCAGCCTGGTCTACAAGAGCCAGGACAGTCTCCAGAGCTACAGAGAAACCCTGTCTCAAAAAAAAAACCAAAAGAAAAGATTTAAAAAAAATCAACCTAGATACATAAAGGGTACTGCAGAGCAGCTCTTCCTAAAGTGTGTCCTGTGGAAAACAGCTTTCCTCAGTGAGGCATGACTAACTGTAGAAAACAAGAGAGAGGCCTGTTAGACTTGTATGCCCAGTACTTGGGAGATAGGGGCAAGAGGGTCAGGACTTCAAAGCCAGCCTGGGAGAAAAAAAAGAAAGGAAAAGTTTCATAGTCAGTGTGGTGGGTACAAAGTAGGTTTTATAAAATGCACTGTGAGTCTTCAAAAGAAGGAAGACTAGGCAAACCTAACTGGAATAATGGGACTATTAGCAATTCCACTGGACACATTTGAGGAAAATGTCTGTTTGCTGGGCAGCCCTTTAATATGGAACACTTGCAAGTGCCCCTTTAAACCGTCGGCTTGGCATCAATCCTCGTTAGTCCTAATTAATCCTTACTCTGGTTCTTAGGTCTGTGGGCATCCTTGTTTGCCAAACAGGAATGATTACATCCTTACAGGTTTTTTGTTTTGTTTTTCCCGAGACAGGGTTTCTCTGTAGCTTTGGAGGCTGTCCTGGAATTCTCTTTGTAGACCAGGCTGGCCTTGAATTCAGTGATCTGCCTGCTTCTGCCTCCCTAGTGCAGGGATTAAAGGTGTGTGCCACCACCACCCAGCCAGTTTTTGTATTTAAAATGTTGCTAGTGGGCTAGGGAAATGGCTCAGTGAGTAAAGACGTTTGTCTGGCTACCTGAGTTTGATCCCCAAAACCTATGATGGAAGCAGAATGACCTTCCCAAAGTTGTTCTGACCTCCATATGTTACTGTGGCATATGTGCACAAATATAACACACACACCACACCACACCACATAAATTAAAAATAAATAAAATGTAAGTTATACCACTCTTTGCTTAACTTTTGATGGTGTGTGCATGTGTGTGTGCTGAAACTAGGGCCCTGTGCATGCTTGGGCAAGTGCTTTACCACTTAGTTATATTCTCAATCTTCTTTTTAATGTTTATTTTGAGATAGAGTCTCACTAAGTGCCCCAGAATAGTCTTGAACTTACTGTGTAACCCAGGCAGTCCTTGAGCATTGAATCCTTCTGCTTTGGCCCTGCTGTCACAATATTGTTCCTTAAAGGAACCCTCCTTTTTAAATAAGTTTGAAAGCCACCTTTATAGCAGTACTTGTCAAAAAGAGAATAAGTATAGAGTTGCCAGGCCAGTGACTCAGGCCTACAACCCATCTCCTTGTGAGGCTGGGATCATAAGTCTGAGACTTGCTTTTGCTACATAGTGAATTTAAGGCAATCCCAGGCAATTGAGACCCTGTCTTACAGTATAATATATGCATATATGTGTATATATAAGCTAGGCATGGCAAAGCATACCTATCGTGTGTGAAGACAGGTTAGGAGGAAGCCAGCCTCAGATACCTAACATGATGGAGGCAGCTTAGGCTACATGGGATCCTGTCTCAAACAAATGGATCAGGGACTGGAGATACAGCTCACTAGTAGCAGATGTGTAATTTAAGAAAGGTGGTGCTTGAGAAAAAGACACCATGCGACAGGACTCAAACAGGGGTTTTTATTAGGGAAATGGATCATTAAAAAGTAGAAAGGGAAGGGGGAGACCAGCCTCTAGAGACAGGAGCAGCAGGAGACAGGAAAGAGGGGAGAGGGTGAGAGAGGAACAGAGAGAGGGAGAGAAAGGAAGAAAAGAGAAATAAAGAAAGGAAGGAAGAAAAAAAGAGACAGAGATGGGAGGTGGGCAGGGCCCTTTTAAAAGGGAACATAGTGAATATGCACAGGTGGTGCTCTTAGTGGCTGCAGCTGAGGGTGTTTCCTGTCAGAACCCCAAAGACAGGCCAGAACAGGTGCCTGAATACTAACAGTAGATATTACATAACATGGGCAAAGCCCTAGGTTCAATCTACAGAAGCACTCATGTGTGCACACTCATACACACACATACACACACTCTCTCTGTGTCTCTCTCTCACACATACACACACAAACACACAGTTTGAAACTTACAGATGTCATTCAGTGACAGCATACTTGAAGCGCCAGGGATCATTAAACCCTGCCCAGATGCTGCTCCCTGAAGAGTGCTCTGAACTGAGATTTCTGGCTCTTCCCTAAGAATAAACACGAATCGTGTTAGAAGTACCAATGTGTGCTTTAAGAAAAGATGAGAAAGGATGAGCATGGGAGCACATGACTGTAGTCCCAGCTATTGAGGAGGCTGAGGCAGGAGGATCACCTGAGCTCAGGAGATCAAAGGCCACCCGACAACAAAGGGAGACCCCGAGAGAGAGAGAGAGAGAGAGAGAGAGAGAGAGAGAGAGAGAGAGAGGCCATTCCTCGTGGTTTGTGACTGTAATTTCAGCACTCAGGGCTGAGACAAGAGGATCACCAGCAAGAGTTCAAGGTTAGCCTGGGATACAGAGGCTGGACTCCGCATTCCAAAGGACTGGGGTGTGGCTTACTTAGTTGGTAGAGTGCTTGACTAGCACCCTCAAAGCCCTGACTTTGATCCCCAGCTCCTCATTCATCAGGTGTGGTGGTGTGTCCCTGTAATGTCAGCACTCCACTACATAACAAGTTTGAGATCAGTCAGGAGTACTCGAGACTGTCTCAGAAAATACAACACAATCTTGCCAGCAAAACAGCCCAGCACTTGTCATGACCTGATAACCTTAGCTCAGTCCTCAAAACCCATGATGGAAAGGGAGAATCGAATCCTGATCCCCATTTGTAAGCTATGGCATCAAGTTCAGGTGTGTGTGCCCAAACACAATACACACACACACACACACACACACACACACACACACAAGAATTAAAGGTACTGGGCATAGTGACACACATTCCTTTGGTCCTTCCATTCAGGAGGCTGGGCCAGATTCGTGAATTAGAAGCCATCCTGAGCTACACAGTACCTACCACTCTTGTATCAAGGGCCAAAAGAGAAAGGAAGACAAGAGAGAAACAGGAATCACCCTGTTATGATGCAGTAAAAGTCACTGAGGGCCACCAATACTTGCTTATTCCATACCTGAGCAGACAATATCCTTGACCTAGGAACTTTTCCCTAGAGCAGAGGCAGATCTCAGGGTTACTGCTTTGCCCAAGGTCACCGTAGGAGTCTGACTTGGGGTTATGTGGTTCCTGGTTCAGTGAACTCAGTTTTGCTACTGAGGCTGTCTGAAGATTTGTCCTTTGGTCTAGTTTGAAAGAGCTTGGCCAGTAATGCGGGGGCAGCTGTGTATTCAGAATGGCACACAGTTCCAAGCTGGCTCTCATTTTGGCTCAGAGACCCAAAAAGTGGGCTGGGTTTCCCTAAGGCCTTCCCAAGAACCAATGCCCTAGAGCCAGGGAGAACTTTCCCAGAAGCAGCAAGCGGGTGGCGGCCACAGACACTGAAGCTCATTTCTGTCTTTCTTTCCCCTGTGCTGCCTTGGGCCTGGGTCATTTCAGAGGAGCCTCAGGTAAGATGGGAGTGGGTTCCTGGCCACCTCTCTGGAAAGTCCCAGGGGAGAGACTGTGGTGGAAGAGCAAAGCCAGGAGTGTGGAAGGGAGGGAAAGGACCCACAGTCGTTCACATCAGCCCTGACATCCACCCTCCCTACAGCTCTACACCCTCGCCGTGATGGGCCCAGGGCCACCAGACCACCAGCCAGCCCAGATCTCCCGCCGCTACTCGGACTTCGAGCGGCTGCACAGAAACCTGCAGCGGCAGTTCCGGGGCCCCATGGCTGCCATCTCCTTCCCCCGTAAGCGCCTACGGCGGAACTTTACTGCAGAAACCATTGCCCGCCGTAGCCGGGCCTTTGAACAGTTTTTGGGCCACCTGCAGTCAGTGCCCGAGCTACGCCATGCCCCAGACCTGCACGACTTCTTCGTGCTGCCCGAGCTGCGGCGGGCGCAGAGCCTCACCTGCACTGGCCTTTATCGTGAGGCTCTGGCGCTCTGGGCCAACGCCTGGCAACTGCAGACTCAGTTGGGCACCCCTTCTGGCCCAGACCGCCCCCTGCTGACTCTGGCTGGGCTGGCTGTTTGCCATCAGGAGCTGGAAGATCCTGGGGAAGCTCGAGCCTGTAGTGAGAAGGCCTTGCAGCTGCTGGGGGACAGGAGACCCCATCCTTTCCTGGCACCCTTTCTAGAGGCCCACGTGCGGCTCTCCTGGCGCCTGGGCCTAGACAAACGGCACACGGAGGCCCAGCTTCAGTCCCTACAGGAGGCAGGCCTTACCCCCATCCCACCCCCCAGCCTCAAGGAGCTGCTTATCAAAGAGACGCTGGACTAACTTTCACCAGTCTTAAGGGCACTTCCGGGAGAGGGGCTGTCCCAAGTCAGGGGGCTGGAGGCCATGGAGGTCACAGTGAGCAACCAGGGGCTGGAAAGGGCTCTGGGAACCCCTAAAGTAGTTCCAGAGAGTCTGCAGCAGATGGGAGGAACTTTGTTTTGTGGGGCTGGAATCCAAACAGGCTTTGGCTGGGGTTACCCTAGGATGATACAAGAAGGAAGTTTTGGCACAGGCTCTTCAGCCTACCACAGCCACAGGCTGTGGCCAAGGTCAGGATCAATGTTTCCTTTTCCATGAGCCTCTGCACCAGTAAAAGAGCTTGGCTGAAGGGCTGGGGACTACTACTGGAGTTTAGAGACAGGAGGAGGGCTGTAGTTCTGCCCAGGGAAATGAAGGTAAGCTACTCCCGTGTTAGCAATTTCTTTATTGGATATGAGAGGTAGGCAGCCCAGCTCTCAGCTGTGACTCCTGCCTCAGGAAGGCAGTGGAAGGAAGGGGTTCTTCAAAGTCCCAGGCCAAGCCAGTTAGTTATCTTTGACTACAGCTTACTCGCCGATGCCCGAGGCTTCAATCGGATCACACCCTCCTGGGCACAGGTCACAGCAAGGACCCCATCCTGACGCCACAGCCGCCCATGCACTAGCCCTCGAGAGCCACCTGTGGACGGGAAGGTTGAGAATGGCCTCCGCTTCAGTACAAGCCTGCTTTGCCTGTGGAAGGGGTTGATACAAGGCAGAGCTGCCCCACACACGGGTGCATTGGAACAACCCCTGGCGAGCCTGTTATAGCCGCAGGGGGAGGGGCTCCCCCTCCACTTGATGGCCTAAAAGCACTTTCACACATCTGATCACAGGGAAAGGCGCTCTGACATCAGTCTCCACTGGCTTGGCCAAGCAGACTGCTGCTTCTCAGGCCACTGGTCAGAAATCCCCTTCTTCCCTTTTATGATAAGCCAAGCAAGTCCTCCCGGTTGGTCATCCACCACCAAGGGTAGAGGGTGGCTCAGAGAGGACCTGAGACCATGAGGTATGACCTCCTTCCCTTTCCATCTAGAGGTTCTTAGCCTTGGTGGCTCCAGCCTGAGTTAGCTATCCTTAGGAAGCTAACTTGGGCTCTCTTTACGCACAGCAGAGCCCACTCTGGTCTAACTAGCCAGTAAGACAGTACACTAAATGACACTAAAGTTCAAAGAGGCTCAGGCTTGGCCCCAAGGAGCAGGTCAAAGCTGACTGAGTGTCCTAACTCCAAGGTCAGGAATCTTGTCCTGTGCCTGTGCTGCTGCTGGTGTCTGAGTAACCCTTTCCTGACTGTAAAGGATTAGTTACGTTTTGTTCATTTTATAAAGCAAAGCTTTTCTTCCTTTGAACTGTACTTCATTATAAAAAAAGCCAGGGCCCTAACACTAGATAGACATCAATGTGTCTGGGTTTCTCTTGGTTCCCTACAGGAGCATCCTTAGATGTGCTGCTCCATCCTGCCAACTCAGGGAGCTCCTTAAAACCCAGTTTACAGCTGGGTATGGTAGCACACACCTTTAATCCAAGAACTCAGGAGGCAGAGGCAGAGGCAGGTGGATCTCTGTGAGTTCAAGGCCAGCCTGGCCTACAGAGCAAGTTCCAGGAGAGCCAGAGCTTCATAGAGAAAACCCTGTCTTGGAAAACCAAAACCAAACAAAAAGAGCATTTCCTGGGCCTGATCCAGGACCCGCTGGGGCAGAATGCAATCTGTTTGGAAAAACCTCCCTCAAGTAGCAGCCTAGTAGTGGCTTACTAGGTTTAGATAGTGCTGTCGAACAGAACCTGTTTATTCAGATGAGAAAAACTAAGAAGAGTGGCATGGTGGCTCCTGCATTTGGGAGGTGGAGGCAGGAGTGTCAGAAATTCCAGGATGGACTCCACTCCATAAAAAGTTCAAGACAAGCAGGGTTAAATGAGACCTTGGTTAATTTAAAAAAAAAAAAAAAAAAGCCGGGTTGCAGAAATATGTGGATCTTAGTAAATTCTAGGCAAGTCACAGCTCCATAGTGAGATCTTACCCTTCCCTGCCCCCCCCCAAGTCTTCAGAAAGGAGAAAGGATTTCCCCAAGGTCATGAATGGAATCTAAAGTGGTTTGGGCATCTGCACTGGGTCTCTGAAATAAACCCAATCATTCCTGGCATGTTTGAATGCTTTTGAAGACAACATGAATACCTAGAGGGTCAGCAGAGCCAGAGCCCTGTGCAGCATCCCCAGAAAGTAGGAAGAGGCAGCAGCATCCCAAAGATCCTGACCCACAGACCCACACTCACCAGCCCAGGGGCTCTCGCACTCATAGAGCATCCAGTGGTCAGCTCGGAATGGGGCGTGGAACCACATGGAGTGGTCCAGTGAGACCATGAACTTCACTTTATACTTGGACTGGTGGGGCAGCAATGCTGTTCCCAGGAAGGCGTAGTCAGAGATGTAAGCAGCCACACAGCAGTGCATCTTGATGTCGCCCTCCCCTGCAACAGGTTCCGACCCCATCAGCCCTGGGCTCCTGGCTTTCCAGCTCAGGATCTGCAGGGAAGTGGGGAGAAAGAGGCTGCCACACACAGATTAGTCATTGTGCAAGGGCATCTGTTCCAGGGTTGGGGGTGTGTAAAGATAAAGGAGATGGGGACTAAGGAGAGCGGAGTAAGACAAATGCAAATCCATTCTTCCCAAATCTCTCACCCCCCACCCCTCTCTGTGGTCCTAGAGCAGGTATCTTCCAATTTGCATAAAGACATCTATGGTGCCACTGACCTAGATAAGAACCTCAGCAAGGTCCCTTGCTTCCCCCGAGAAAGGTCCAACAATAGGATTACAGTAACCTCATCATTCTCCTGTTAAAGGGTAAGGGCTCTGGTGAGAAACTGAGCCAAATTCTGCATAACTCATATTAGGAAAGGGACCCAAAGAGAGTGTGGGATACCCAAGCCACAGAGGGCAAATGAGTGGCAAGGCCTAGACCCCCTGGAGTATTTTCCTCGAATTCATGGGTTCTCTTACCAATATAGCCCCGGGCTCGCACCCAGAACATCTGTTTGGGTTCCAGTGCCTGCAGCTGGCTCGTGGTGGGCGGGTTCACCAGCTTGATCTCAATGGGCACCTCCTGGGCAGCAATTCGGTTCAGCCCCACTCGGTATTTCTCCTGGAGGTTAGGGTCCCTGAAAGTAAAGACAGGGACAAGGAGTCCCAAGGAGAGGGAAGTCTCTGTACTTCCTCTTCTGGTCCCCACCATTTCTCCATAGGGGCTTCTGTCCTGCAAAGCTTCCTCATGGAGCTGGTAAAGCAGTATAGTGTTCAAATCCCTTCCTTGTCACTTTAGCCATGCAGCCTTGTGCAAGCTAGTCATCTCTCTGAGCCTATTTTCCCATCTGAAATGTGAGAGTAATAAGGCGAACTGTCTTGCAGCAAACACATACCAACCCAAGCATTGCACATAACCATAATCCATTCTGGCAGGTCATCACACCAATTGATAAAAGGCATGAACCCAGGAAACCCAGGTGGCTTGCTGAGAGAATGTCAGGCAGTCTGGACCCACAGTTCACCATCTAACCACTCATTACTGTGAACGTTCAGAAAAAGTCTCCAATATGTCTGCCTTCTCTAGCAATCAGGAGCCCTGTGTGCTGTGGTGATACCATTTCCATGGACACCCCACCCCCATCCCTGCCACCCCAGTGTTCTTAGTAGGTTCTGCCCTTCCCACCCATCTGGGTACTGTTCATCTGCACTGTCTACTGTAGCAGCCACTAGCCACACTGAGAACTTGAAATGTTACTACTGTAACTAAACAACATTGATGAGGGATGTGGGTTGAGGATGCGGCTCCATGGCAGAGAGCCTGCCAGGCATGCACAAAGCCCTGGGGATGTGATCCCTGGCACCACACATAAAAACGAATTGTTCATTCTATTTCACCAATTTAATATAGCCTAAAGGGTTAGTAGCTACCTTATTGATGAGTACAGTCCTAAATTCAGGCTCCTTTGACAAGAATACATTATTTTCATTTCTGCGCACACCAAGCCCCATGCTCTATTCTTGTCTCTTAGTGATATAACTACTCACACAACATCTGCTAAGTGCCTGTATACCTCTTATTTAATCCTCACAGCAGCCTTATGAGGTGAGAGTTACTACTAGCTCCATTTATGACCAAAGGTATGGACTCAGAATGGGCAAGCATCTGCCCAAACTCATACAGATGTTAGGGACAGAGTCTAGATTTGAACCCTGCTATTCAGGCTCTTGAACCCACACCATCCACATGCCCTGCTGCTACCCTAGTATCCAGCACAAGCTATAGGATCTCTTCCCCTTTGACACAGCAAGAGAAATGACTGCTCCCATACTTTAGATGAAGAATCTCAGGCCTTGAGAGGCTGCTAGAAGGGGAAATCCCCTAGCAGGTACGCACTAACAGAGAGGCCACAGTCCTGGCCAGAAGCCATGTGTCTGTATCCAGAGCTCTTCCCCATATCCCAGCATTTGCCAAACTTTAGTTGTGATCTCAATGAGAAATATATGCTGCCAAGGTAGAGTCAAACTATTCAGAAGACACTGAAGTGAAGATTCTCTGCAACAGGGTCCCAGAGGAGGACACTCATCCCGCCACACATTAACACCAAAGCTGCTACATCATAAGCTGAAGTCAGAGGGGGATCAGTCAGGGGACTGGAGGCCATGTATTTACCCAGTGGTTGCAAAAATAGTTTATTATTGGATTCAAGTACAGAGAGTTGAACCCTCAATTTTTAAAACTAGTTTATTCCATTTATTGTGGATGGGTAGGGGCAGTATGCATGTGTGCTTCAGCATATATGTGAAGATCAGAAGACAGCCTTGTGGAATCAGTTTTCTACTTACACCTTTATATGGGTCCCAGGGATTGAATTCAGGTCATCAGACTTGTACAGCAAGTACCTTTACCTGCTGAGCCATCTCTCTGCCCCAAGATAATATTTTAATAACAATAAAAATATTCCATAGCTATGCTGGCTGCCGGCTGAGTGCAAGCTCTGCCTTTTACACTCAACATACACATATGCTAATACAAACAAGAAACAACTGAAGTTGAAGTCACAGAGGGCTCTTACCCTCCTTGCACAGTGGGCTCCAATCTCTCCTTTTCTGTTTATGTGTACTGTATATAAAATACATATATTTCTATATACAAATATAGTTATATATGTACATGCAGTATTGGGGTTGAATCTAGAGCCTTGAGCACACTAAGCACATGCTTTATCACAGAGTATACTCCCAACCCCCCATTTTTGTTTCTTGTTTTTACTTTATGTGTATCAGTGTTTATCTTCATGTATTATGTGTACCACATTCGTGTTTAGTGCCTGTAGAGGCTAAAAGGAAATGTCAAAGCCTTTGGAACTGGATTTAGAGGTGGCTGTGAGCCACTCTGTGTGTGCTGGGTACCAAATTTGGGCCCTCCGCAAAAGTAGTACATGCTCTTAATGGCTGAGCCATCTCTTCAGCCCACCCCCATTTTCTGAGATAGGGTCTTACTAACCTAGGAATCACAGAGATCCATCTGTCTCTATCTCTCAAATGCTGGGCTCTAGTTTATAGTTTTAGTATATAGTCAAGACCCACTTAGGGGCCCCATGGCCCACTAATGAGAAGAAGCCAGGGTTTGAAAACACCGCTGGTCCTAACACTTAGGAGGTAGAGGCAGGTGGATCTCTAGGTACAAGGCCAGCCTGATCTACAGAGAAAGTTCCAGAACAGTTAGGGCTGTTACACAAAGACAACATGTCTCAAAAAAACAAAACAAAAAAGAGAAAGAGAAAATAACACTGCCCTGGGACTACATGGGAAGAGAAAGGGGACAAGAGAGGTAAAAAGAGAAAATGTACGAAAAATATATTTATAATAATGCATTCATGAAACTGTCCAAACGACTTCATATAATATACACTAATTAAAAATAAAGGAAATGTGTGCAGTGAGATGGCACACACACCTGCTGACCTGAGCTCCATCCCCAGGATCCATGTAAAGGTAGAAGGAGAGAACCAAGTGCAAAGTCGTCCTCAGTCCTCCATTTGCTGTGGCACACGCGCAAACACATACACCATACACACAATAATATGTGTTAGAAAGAAATAGAGTGTAGTATCAAACTATCAGAATGCATCAAAATCTAGCCATCTAAGTATTCTTGTTTTATTTAAACACAGGCTCTCACTACATTGGCTGGCTGGATGGCTGGCTGGCTGGATGGCTGGGAACTCCCCATGTAAACTAGGATAGCTTTGGTTTCTCACAGATCTGCCTGTCTCTGAAGGCAGGCAGATCATACCCCAGGGCCTAAATGTGTTTCTTACTATAGGTCAA